AAGCAAAAGATTGAATTCTTTATCGCACAGCTGGCTGAATAATCGATCGCTGAGAGTATTAATGCGAATTTTGTTCACAGCAGAGATGACATATTGTAACGATTGATGCAAACGGTCGCTGAGGTTTTTTTGCAACTAAATGCTACCTATGAATCACGCGCATCTAAAATAATTGGTACATCTTTCTTCAAAAGGGAGATGAACCAACGATGACGACCCTCCATTGCAGGAGCTCCATTGATGTCAACAGACATAATGTTCGAAAGAGGAATATTTTTCTCTTTAAAATAATCTTTGACGGTATTAAAAATAGATTCACTTTTAGTATCTGCAATCAAGCTTTTTTCAAAAAGCATCTCTTGCATAATGTTTTCTTCCTTCACAAACGGAACGTACGCTAACAGTAAAGCCTCATTACTACTTGGCAAGGTTGCTTTATCAACCTGAAGAGAAAATTCGGTGAATTTCAAAAGTTTGCATAAGGAAGCTTCAACATCTTCAGCCATCTCATCAGTTCGTCGTCGCACTCTATCATTGCTTAACGGGACATTTTTATAATATTGGATGCTGCTGGGATCATCCCAGCAGCATCCAATATTATAAAGATTTCTAACAGTTCAGCAGTCTAAAACTTCCTTGACAGCCGGCAGTATCAAATTTTCGCCGATGGTATCAGCTTTCTTCGATTTAGCAATTAATTTTGATATATTATAAGAGGCTATCAAATCATCGTCGCATTCTTTTCATGACGCTACTAGTAAGCCTGAGACAGACGGTGCTTTCAGGAACTTGTCCCTGATGTTCGTAAAAAACGACAAATCTTTATTTTGTTTGTCAGGATGATTTGTTTGCAGATTATCCTGCAAACGAGACTTTTATAACACTTTTTAAAGAGTAAACATAGGGGCAGTTGCAAGTTCGACGGCGAAGGAACGAATCCAAACTTCAAGTACGTGGAACTGTATTGACGACATTTCTCTTTTTTAAATGACATCGTTGGCGGCAGCAAAGTATTATGAGAAAAAGATAACTCCTTCTCAAAATTAATAATTCACGATCACGATAAATAACTAATAAGCGCAATTAGCTAGGTGACAGACCAATAAATCGAAACTGAGGAGGGGGGTAAAAAACAGAAATGAAGCGAAAAAAAGAAAGCAGAACAAGAAACACGGGTCCAATCTCAGCATTCATGTTGATAGGACGCTCAATTCATGCTCTGTGATTAATAGCGCGCGTAAATAGCTGACGCATGCGCTGTGTTGGTTGTGATGACAGGAAAAACAACAGCGGATTCCATTACCTGAAAATGTATACATTGATCTGGTGTAATTCTCCTCTAGAGGAAATCACCTCGAATGTTTTATCGATCTGATTCAGTAATGTTTGCGGGGTGGTATCACGTGGCAACCTTTCGCCAGATTAGTTGACGTTCAGGATCTTTGCTGAGGTTGAACCTACTTTAGTCAGTAAACATGATCTTGCTCTATCGCGTTGTTGTCTAGGCTTTACGTCGCACTGATGATGAAAAGGTGTTAAAGAAACACTCTTCGCTCTGCTAAAATACCAGCCAAAATAAACCACAATGTAGCAAGAAGCGTCTGATGCTCCTATGCATTTAGTTTTCAGTTGTTTCCTCTTTTTGTTATCGTTTCTATTGGCTTGTAAGATTATAAATTGGTCATCATTGTTGTTCGTGAGATCAGCACTTGAACAAGTATGCACCTGACGTTCTGAAAATCATTCACGCTCGCCATATGATACTATCAACAATACTGAACTCGTCGGATCGTGTAAATATGTTAGACAACGTGTTTTCACCTGCTTTCTATTATTCTGCTTCATTTAATCTAAAGATGAAATTCACTGACCATCTTATTGTAAACCCGGTACCACATCTTTAAGCTACAGCCTCGACAACGCGCTTAAGCATATCTCAGAATTCTTATTTTTAGGATATATGATTAGTTGATTTATGTGCAAACCAGCCGCCCGACCGGGATAGTGGTTAGCGACGCTGACTGCCGTACCGAAGGGCACAAGTTCGAATCCCGGAGAAGGCATGCATTTGCAAAAGTGTAGTATCTGTGCGGCATGCGAACACTCTAAATATGCGGCGAGCCGAGAGTACCCTCGAGAGTTCGATTGTAGGAGAACAGGGGTGGGAGACCCTCGGACCCGTTCCTCTTGGTGCTCACCATCAAAATGAGGGGTGTAACTGAGCAAAATTGTTCTGTCACTTGTATGGTGCTCAATACTCCTAATAACGATAGGCGCACTCTTGCATTCCTTGCCACGATGTATTTCATGGGCTTGTTCTGATTTTACTTTAAGACAAATGAGATAAGTTACAATAATACAAGACATGTGAAAACCAGTTCTTAGGAAATATCGTACGAGGGACAGAGCTTTAAACGGAACATTTTCTGTATAGTTTCAAAAGTCTCGCGTAGCTAAGCGGGATGCAGCTTTCAACGAAACATGTTTTGGCTAGGAATCCTCCAGTGATAGACGACGGACAAGCTCATTTCTCGGAAAAGTTTCGTTTAAATGCGTCGTTAGATTTGATAAGCCCATTAGGAAATTGAGAAACTATTTCCGAAATATTTTTCTGTATGCGCTGCGGTATCACTTCGGACGTTGAAATACCAAAACTCTTATTTATACCACCTATGTGCTGAAACTATATGATTATGTAAATATAAATTAGAATCTCAGTTTAATTTTGAGGGTGTAACCTTTTAAAATAGTGCTATTCTTCACATTTCAGACGCTTGAGTATCAAGATCAGTCAAGTTTTCGTAATATAAGTAAATAAAATATAAATTTCTTCCAAACTGATGCTGGGTTCACTTAATTCTAGTTCTTTCTGTAAAATCATTTCACAACAGAAACATTTTGCCCTACAGTCCACGACTTCATTGTTACTAAATACTTTGGGGAAAGATATAGGAAAAAGTAATGGATGCATTCTTCTGCTCAGAATGAAGCATATAAAATAGCATTACAAAATATCCAATTCACAAGCATAAACTATATATTTAATTATTTAATACATAAATATTGGTCTGTTGCATTTAAAAAAAATTATTTCAAGTAGTATTGGAAAAGACTATTGAAAATATGCAGGAGGCAACGGCTTCCATCACTTGGATGACATCATATGTTTTGTACATATGTGACTGATAAGCTGTGTTGCTTCTTTGGCTATAGTGTTATAGTGATATATTGCGATATGGCGTCAAAGTGAATGGACACTGAATACCTTAAGGAGATTTTTCTTTATGACTTAAAATTGGATTATTTTTCTCGTCCTGCAGGTCTGCAAAGTTTCATGCAGATAACAAATCGTTTGAAGATGCACGAAGAGGACAACGAATACAATATTTTTCAGATGATCTTCTTGATGTATACTGTAGAAAAAGATCCACGATAACGTTTCCCCAATGATACCCTAGAAACTTAATTTCTATCATTCCACTATCTTTTGATATTTCACTACGATAAGCTAGGTGAACAAGTTGAACTAGTGAGTGCCCCACGATTTCACAAAGACTTTTAAGAAAAAAACTCATCGGCAAGAAGTGTTCTGGAATATGCGTGAATGAACTGCGACCCATTAGAACATTTATTAATCAAAAAACGAACTTTGAGTGTGACAATCTTATTTTTACACAGTCTGTACCATCTTGGTGGTTTTGTACAAAGCTTTGTCACATTCGAATTTTGTTGTTGTTATTTATACATGCCAGGATTATTCAAGAAATTACTTGTACAATTGCTTCAGGTAATCGTTTCGTTTACAAACATTTTTATTTAAGTTGCACTGTAATATATTTGTGCAATACCTTAGCTAATAGATTCAGAGTTAGCCATCAGCACTCATGAACAAACATGGTGTCTCTGTCTTGCATTAAAACTCTTGTCCCTGTGTATCACAAATATCTAGCTCACACTGCCTGAGTTAATTACGAAATTCTGTTTTATGCATTTTATGTACCTCACCTTCCTCAACAAATTATCGCCTTTCCTGTTACCTTCCCAGCGTTGTTTTCGATTCGGAAAGTTTTAAAATCATGGCAATACCTGTCAACCAATCGAAGTATTCTTGAAGTTCCCAATCGCAAGAATTCTTTAGACATGGAATTTACAGTCTAGCACTATGTTAGTGGAAATGCCTGGATGCCGAGTATACTATTTTGATTAGAGTATTCTTTTAATTAAGGATTTTGTTGGGAAGATATCCGTCACTTATCGATCATTTTAAATGTACCATCCCAATACCAATTGTGATTCATAAAGTTGTATCAGTACCATCCTAATACCAATTGTGATTCATAAAGTTGTATCAGTACCATCCTAATACAAATTGTGATTCATAAAGTTGTATCACTAAATAATTCTGTTTTGACTATTTTAAGGATCTGAAATGAAAGATTTTTAGGGAATCATTTGTCAACGAATATTACTTCTTAATGAATTTCTATCTTCCTAACTATGTCAGATAAATTTAGCTTTGCAATTTGTAACTTTCAGTTAAAAATAAATTAGAAAGATACTACTTGATCATTTTTAAGTGTAACGTAATCTAATGCAATCATAGCACCTTAAACAAATTTATTATGGTATTTCATTATATGAAATGAAAATGCGCAGATGTCGGCAATTATCTGTTGTGGTAATTGAATAGCATAGTGAAATATATACTGCTTGCATAGGCAGTTAATTCAATATGTCTCACTAGAAGCCAAAGATTTTTATCTCAAATTACATCATTCTTGCCAGCTGAAAATGAGTGTTCTTGCATGTGTTTGCATGTATTACAGAAGTTATTATAGAAGTTAAAAATTTCTTTTTCAAAACGAAGGAGTGTTATCAACCAATATATCATTGATGTCAATTTAAAATACTAATTGAGTGCTTGCATGCTAACATGCATTAGAGACCGTTTTAAATTCTGACATTAAGCAAATATTTAACTTGTTTGGGATATTCGTAAAATATTTAGGTATTCTATGAATATAAATTTATTTCCATGCAGCCTACCAAGGAGTACCCTAGTTCTGTTGGCAGCAACGCTCCTGTAAGTAATAACTAAATTTTGATATTGTATTTAATTTTAAATATCAGGTGTATATGCCTTTTAATGTTTTTGAAAAACTAGCGATAGGCCTTCTGTGCGGAAAAACATAATAACTAATAAAATAGAATATTTAATTTCTTTTTACTTTAATCTTTATCATCATGTAAATCTATAAGTATACATGTTCCGATGCAACATTTGAGTTACTTACACTTGGAGGGACAATCGTTATAAAGACCGATTTGTTAAATTTCCTAAATATACATTTTATTTTGTAACTGCTATTCCCTGCTGAATCAGGAAAGGAATCGTATACCAACTAGAGTTTGTGAACCAGGTAACCATTTTTACACTGGTGGCCATTAAAATTGCTACACCATGAAGGCGGCATTCAACAAACGTCAAATTTGCATACTCGGATATTCAAATGATTAACATTCCAGCGCATACGCACAAAGTAGGTATGAGCCAACGCTATCTGCATTTAATAGTATAAATGGGATAGTTGCAACGTAGACTTTTCATTTGGAAATCGCGACTGAACGATGGTTGTTTGTGTAAAGGTTGTGTTATGCTTTGGATAAAAGGGAGGAACTCCCACCAGCACATGCGGGGATTCAATTGCAGCAGGACGGGCTTATCAGGACAGCGGCTTATCATTCTGCAGCACTGCAGCTCGTACTGGTCGGTATACCCTTACTGCCAAGCGAATATGGAATCGATGGGTCCATACTGAACGCCATGCAAGATCTCAGCGGTCCCCGCCCACCAAAGTCCGAGAAGACAGACATGTTATCCTCTCATCTTTGTCACATCACGTATCTTGAATCTAGAAATTGGCTTGCGTGCGGAACTGTAAGTGCACAGACAGTGCGATAACGCTGCAGCAACACAGACTGTCAGCACAGCGACCATTGTTACGACTTCCTGTTGACGCTGCAGCAGAGACAGGCACACCTGCAGTGGTGTGACTAAAGACGACGCGACACAAAAGTGGCACTATGTCGTCTTTTCAGACGAATCCCGGTTCAGCATACAGCATCAGAATGGATGTATCTGTGCGTGAAGGCAACAAGGAAAACAAAGGTTGCCAGCTTGCATTCATCATTGTCATATGAGTCGGCAAGATAATTTAAGACAGCATGTTGCCCGTGCTGTCGTAAACTTTCTCGATACAGAGGATGTTCAACTGTTGCCTTGGCCAACACGTTCTCCGGTTCTCTCGCCTACTTAGAACATCTGGCCATCTTGCGGAGAGACTGGCCCGTCTCTACTCGCCAGCTATTAGATTGATGAAGTCTGGCATAGAGTTAATGCTGCATGGAGTGAAGTATCCGTATCTGTAATCCAAGCTCAGTTCGACCCGATGCCTAGTCGGATTACAGCCGTTGTTACAGCTAAAGGTGGCACCTCCGTGTACTGAATTCTAAATGCTGTGTATCCAAATCACCTGCAAATTTAACCATGTTTTCCTCCCATTATACTGCATCTGAAATACGTACAGAAAATACGATTTTGCTATTTACTTTCTTTTCTTGTGTAGTAATTTTAATTACTAGCAGTGTATAGTAGCAATATACATAAGTATTAAAGTTGGGACGAATCCTAAGTTTTCTTGAATCCGAATCCTGACAGATGTTTTCAATCATCAGTCTCTCGAATACTTTGTATAAGAATATTAAAAAGAAGGGCAAAAGTGTTTTTACTTAGCAGTTAAAAGTGTTTAATTAAAGCATAATTTGGAATGTGTACTGAAAAAATAATAATACAGTTTTTTAATGTACATAGTACACTTATTCTAAAAAGTTAAAAGCAAAATTCAGTAAATGAAGCACATAATTAAAACTTTTGAATTTTAGCGTCCATTTTGTCAGTAGACCTTGACAAAAAATATTTCTCTAACAGTTCAGTTTTTTAAATATTTTTTTACAATGTATGTAAATCAAATCACGTGCATAGAGGGACGAAGATTGTACTTAGAGTTGACACTGACAATTACTGCTAATCAGGCAACGCTAAATTCTGTCTCGAAACTAAGACTGTGTCACTCAGGAAATGTGTGCGGTTTAACTCAAATCTATTAATAAATTAAAAAAAATAATAAACGGTAGTTTTCTGTAAACCGTTGTATTTTTTCGCCAATGGCCTCTGTTTTACATTAAAAAAAATTCTAATGGGGAAATTATAAATTATAAATGTTTTACTATCAGTTTTATTAAATATATTATGTAGCAGAGCCTGTATTGAAGCTATTTCTACGTTAGTAGTGAAGCGTAGAGCTTGGTTTTGCAGATATTTCCGCTTGTTCTTCGAAATCTCGGAGGTAGTTATTAATGAAGCACAGCAATATTTCACAAGATCCTATAAGAATTTTGTTAGTTGTAAATAAAGTGTCGCACGTCCCCATCAAACTCCTGCTAGTTGTTTAATTACATTCAAACTACTGTTTAACCTTGGAGTTTCATGTCAACTAAGACGACTCTTAAAAGTAATATTTAAAAGTTTGGCATTGAGGAACAGGGTGTATTATTGCTTCAAGCCTCGAGAACGAGATGCTTGTACACAGTGAGAAATTCATAAAAGCGGTCTTTTCAATGGCATAAAGTAATTAGCCTGTTCATGGCTCCGTTTAGTGTGTCTTGTAACTCCTCCTTTGCATTTAAATCCTTATCTTTTAGCACATAAATAAGATAATTGACTAAATTTTAAAAAGAGAATAGCTGATCACTGCTTCCTGGGGAGGACCGCTGTGAAGTCTGTAATGTTCTGAGTAACTGGAAGCTAGAATTAAAAGTCCTACAGACTTTACTAGAAAAACAATGGTTTATGGCTACGTCTTAAACAACTCACAAAATATGGAAGAAGCTTAACATAATATTTTTCTATTTAGTCTTAATGTAACAGAATAAGCACAACTTGTACTACAGAGAAAACATCCACCACTTGTGAATGTTTAAATTAGCGTTACAGACAATTAAATTGAAACCTTGACAACGTTGTCTAAACCTACATATTAAGTAGACTCATATATTTTACCGGCGCGTATTTAAAACAACGGTCAGCGATAATGCTGAACTCGAAATCAAACTTTCAAGCAGAGTTAGAGAAAATACTAACAGCAAGATGTGATTGCCATAAGCTGTGATCTAAAGAATCAAAACCCTTAGTTTAAATACACATTTTAATTTTTATTCTGGTGAGGAATACGGAAAGAAGAATTTACAGTAAGGACTTAAATCGTAATAGTTGGCTAATTAACATATATACTTTACAAGTTGTTTATAATGAGATATATCTTTTCCATTAAGCATATTTATGAATAGTTAGGCAGTAAATTTGCTGATCCATTTTAACATACAGATTCTCCAACAGTCTAAGGTTCAAAAATTTCTTGAGCAGAAATTCCTCCAAACACAGTAAATGTTCTTTTAAAATCAACAAAAGCTGCAGTTGGAATATTATTCATCCTACTATATCATCGTTGATATTCTAACTAATAAACGCAGTATGCTCCTAATGAAGTTATACGTTTTTCTTAAAATTAATCTTCAAAATAAAATCATTAAAAGAAGTTCCTTTGGGGATTAAATTCTCCTTCCTTAAAACTGCTGCGATATTTCCACTTACTAACATTTTTAGGATGTCTTCTCCTTTGAGATTTATTTCTGAGCCTATTTCGCTCTTTCTCCAGCACTTCTAATTTAGGACTACAGATGTATTTGTATTGTTTATTTACCACGTAGAATAAATCATTTCGCAGCTTGTAATAAAGCACTGTTGCATTTAGGAACAAATTTATCAGAATTTTTATCAAAATTAAAGACAGCGGGATTCAGATCTGTTGCCTTTCTTCCGGAAGGATGACCAATCTACCTTTCAAAATTCCATGAAAGTCGATTGTTTAAAAAAAAAAAAAAAGACTTGGAATTTTTACTACAGATATAATCGCCCGATGGCCACTACCTAGGTCATCAATCACTTTTCCTTCCATTAAATCAGTTACGTCAGTGGAAACTATGAGCCAATCAAAGTTTGTTCTGTAGTTGTAATCAATAAAAGAGGCCGAATTGTATGAATTGAAAAATAAGCTCTAGATTTATGTATTTGTAAACTTATCACCCAATTTTTTGTTGCATTTTATGCTATGTAGACTCACTTTTTGAATCGGCATTAAAACCCCCAGTGACAACTGTATTCTTCGATATATCCAAGCTATAAAGAGTTAGGTTATTTAAAAGCGGATTATACACCACAAATGCACTAGTGCGCAAAACTAAAGCAGCACTTCATTTTTCAACATACAATAATGAAATTTTGAGCAGGGCTTTTTACTATCAGTACAATAAAACCCCAACTCGGTAGACAGGTGTGCATATGCAAATATAAACACCATGACGTCAGAGGGTACGTCAGGGCACGAAACCTGCGAGGAATCAGCAGCGCAGTGCAAACCAACTTAAAAAGACAAAAACGAGGCAGCTTCTAGGCATGAAAGTATGAAAGTAAGCTTGTGTATGTGCAGTTTGGCTCCAAGAAAACATCACGATGCCTTTATACGCTGTGGTAACTATTAACATTACCATTTATTAGATTTCTGTTCGAACATAAAATCCAGCGGAAAGCAATAATTCCGCTTGCTTATTAACACACATATATTTATTTACATATAATATAATGATTACAAGCATAATTAATAGACACACGCCTTCGGTACTGTTAGGCTTAACACCTTCGTTTTTCTAAAACCGAATAACTCCAGAGACAGGACGCTTGGAGCACCACCTAACGGCGGGAGGTTTCAATTCATAACACACCTGATGGAATAATTCACAAGATGGAGATGGACGTAGTTTGACGTCTGTCGTCCAAGAGTTTGGAATAGCTAAAAGTGTTGTTTCATGAGCTTGGAAAGCCTTCCAGACGACAGGTACAGCTGCGTGGGTGGTGGTGGTCAGCCAAGGAAAACAACGGTGGGTGATGACCAATTTGTCATTGTTGTAGAATTCTCTTACAACTGAGGATCAAAAATAAGAAGGGTGGGAAAAAATGTTACATCAGAGAAGGTTTTATGCTCGATACTGACAGAAAAAAATTCTATTTCTTTATCCCACTGACCTTTAAAGAAGGAAACTTCGTCAAGACAAAGCAATCATACTTCAAAAAGTATCACTGAATTCTTTGAAAAATGAAGATTGATACAGGTATAGCATATATACCTTTTCAACGTATTCTTGTGAAATCACCTGAGGTTTCACCTACGGACTATCGTGCCTTTGGTCTCCTGAAAAGAGATCTCACTAAGCGCAAACCCACCACGATTGATGGATTCCGGAATGTAAAGATGGAAATTTTACGAAAAGCCTTTCTGTCATAGAAATCGTGATGCAAACTTAATAGTCCAGAAAAAAAAAAAAAAAAAAGCTATCAGATCGACCCTTAAAAAATATTCTTGATTAAACGGCCTGGAAATCGTTTTAAAAATGTGTAAATACCCTCTGTAGAGAAATTTAGTTGTAATTTACTATTTAGTTTATTTTACTGCAGTCGATTTACTCTGAGTGCAATTAATGAAATACTTTATACATTAAATAGGCATATATATTATTAATTAAGTAACCTCGTTAGGCTTCACTTAATTAATAGAAGGCGCCATACTGCTACAAATTCATTTTGCAAATCGGTTAAAAACTATGCATGGAGTTTCATATCTGTGTCTGTGAATAATATGTTATAAACAACATCAGCACAAATTCCTCTGGGGTTCTTTGGTGATGGCTCGTAAGGAAATTTCACATATTTTTAATTTTATTTTTCCACCGGAAACTGCCGAATTTCGTTATAAAAAATAAAACAGTATTACACACACACATAATAATAATAATAATAATAAATTGTAGTTATCTGGAATTTTGTACTGTTGTGCTTTTGGTCTCTGGGGTATGCACCATGATATAGCAACTATTATGAAGGGGAAAATTGTAAAAAATCAATTTTACATCCATATAATATGATAATCAGACTTTTCGTCTAATAGGATAGTAATAATAATAATACTGTTACGTTATTCTTCCTTCACGTTCGTACGGGGTTCGTAGATTTGGAGTGAATAACGTCGACACTTGATGAAGCATTGAAACACACTATATTTACTAATAATTGGTCAGATAGCTCCAAAATCACTTTTACAGTCGTCAAATTGTTATAAACACGCTGACACGTTCAGTGACACAGCCTTCACACTGCCAGGCAGTAACGGTGGAGACAGCTTCACTACAAAGCACCAGAGTACAGCTCCCGACTCTGCTTGGTCGTTCTCGGAACTCCACGTACTCTCGAGACTCTCCACGCTACAGCTCGCGAAGCACGCGACGAGACACAGAGCACAGGCTCCCGACTGTTCAGTTCAGTCGTTCGACGCTAGTTCAACACGCTCTCTCGACGATACACTAATTCGCGATAAACTAAGAGACTCTTCGATGCACTCGGCACTCGCTGGCCGGCTGTCAACTCGATCGTCTCCGCACGGACTAACTAGATGAGACACACCTATCTCGCACTCGACGAGGCACACTCACTAATTCGTAACTAACTCGAATCCGCGTACCAGCAGGGTTTATATAGCTTTTGGCTGGTGTTCGAAACATTCTGGGCTAAACCGGTAAGAATTCGTTCCAAAAGGTTCTCCATCCGTCCATGGCATATCGCCAATATTGTCGCCAAATGTGGCAACCACGCGTTCCTTTGCCATTTTATGGCAACTCTAAAACTGCTTTGTGGGGAAGCTATCTTACCGCGCCTGGACTTTACGTAACAATATACGAATAATAAACAAATTACACATTAAAAATCTTATTAAAATTTACTATCTTAATTATTAAAAATAATACATAATTATGAATACATAATTATTGTGAAATATTTTTTTCACATCAGTTGGTCAGATTAAATTTTTAAAACGTTTCCTCGGGATTTATTATATATTTTAAATTAGTTTAATATATGTTTTCAAACTTTTACTGATAAACCCCATTGACATTTGACTGATTAACGCATTTACCATGCTGGTCCTAATATAAGACAATGTCTCCTCTTCTTTTAAAATGGAACCTTTTGAAAAACCATATTAATTTTATATGTGAAATCTAATATTTTAAAAAGTATCTAAATTTATCACTTATTCCTAAACTTAAAGAAAAATTATGCACTTAGTTTCGTCGCTAAGAATGATATTTAATCCTGTATGTGAATTCGCTTAATACAAACCCTTTTGTTTCATGTGAAGAAGGTGCATAATGAATTTTCCTTTTTAGATTAGTTCTTCTCTTCTTACTGGCCACTGTATTAGTGTACAGAGTATCTCTTGTTCACAGTAAAAGTGCCATGGAAGATAACTGGCCAGCAAAAACAGGCCACAGGTAAGATGTGAGATATTTAATCCATACAAACCATTTTAAACCACAATTTTAAAAATGGGAACATATTCTCTCGCATCCCATACTAATTCTTTTGAAAGAAATTTGTTGCAATATTGATAAAAGAATTCTGCCCCAATTTTTTTTTGGGGGGGGCGGGAAAGGATTCTGAAAGCTTAAAGTATTTTAATAACTTGCAGTTCATAATAAGCTAGAATGTACCAGAAAGAAGTACGTTATGCACATTGATGAACTTTGTAAACCTGAATTAGATTTTAGAATTAGGGAATTGGTCATGAAAAGCAAAAACACACTATAAGTAAAAACTGCACTTTTTTTTTTTTTTTTTTTTTTAAGGTTGCTTTATAAATGAAATTGAAATTTAACAGGAGAAAAGAGAGATCTGATAAACTGCAACAGGTGAAATGGCTAAGGTCCGAGTTAATATATTAAGAGTTGTTAAACTGAAAATATTATAAAAGGAACTATGATAATGATTAGAAAATAGTTAGATTACAACCTTACAGAATTTCTAAATACTTGTTTTAATAAAATTTAAATAATATTCGATCTTCAACTGATTTTGATTTCATATAAAAGCTATGTATTTCGGGAGAGACTATCACGAAGGTCTAAGCTGATTACAGAGTTCTAAATAAAAAAACTTTAACAAATTTTCCCTAGAAGAAACAGGCATATATAAGAAACGGTAAAGCAATAGATAATAGTAAAAACGAGTCATTAAAGTTACAAAACTTTAGCTTATTTATAAATCAAACACTGGCTTACAATTTAAAATATAATGTATAATTGAGTAGCTCTGATTTTTAGAAAGCAAAGCCCTCTCCTCTGATACATCATTAATGAGAACATGTAACAATTTTTTAATTACCCTACCCTAATGAAATACTACAGTTATAAATATGTCCACTTAAATGAGATGGGATGCTATTTAATTTATTAAAGAGTAATAAATATTTTACTAGCTGCCCTTCTCTCTACAAGGACCATAAAAAGTGTCATATTTAAGAAACATTCTTACTTAAAGTGTTGAAATTGTTTTCACGAAATTCCCTTTTTTAGACATTTTTTAATGGAAACTACATGTCTAAAATCATATTTAAGAAGATAAGACATATATATATATATATATATATATATATATATATGTGTTCAAGAAAAATATATATATATATATATATATATATATTATGTGTTCAAGAAAAAATATATACTATATATATATATAAGGTGTTCGAAAATATATATATATATATATATATATATACCGTGTCCACAAAAGTCGTTACGCGCCTTTATTAACTTTTGAAGATGTAGTCAGTGAGTTCACCAACATGCACCTGCCAGTAAAGCATTCTACATGTTTTACTGACAGGTGCATTTGGCTTTTTTTTTTTAGCATTTTACCAAATCACTCTTAAAATGTCTGGTTGCCCGAGGTTGTTACTCCAAGTAATTAGCAGTTAACCTTTATAATGTGACTCGATTGCAATTAGTATTGAATAACAAAATAATAATTTATGATGAATTTGAAATTCTTGGGAACAATAATGTTTTATTTAACAGTATACTTCAGCACTTGCAGACGTAACTGAATAAATTACGACTATCTTTTCATAAAAATTGTACTTTGATTTAGGTTAACAAGTTATCTGGAATTATTGAAACAGCAACAAGAAGCAGTGGAAGAGGAAATATTAAGGATTACAACAACTCTAAAAAATAGACTTAACGATTTAGGGCAGGTAAAATCTTGTATTAAAGTTTCCTATTCTTCAAAAATTTTAAATTATATTGTAAATCTGAAAAATGTACGTAATTCATACATTTGCAGGTTCGCCAGTCAATAGACAAAATCTCTGGTCTTACGAGACAAACACCTTGCAACGTTCCAAATGAAAATAGTGAAGCATCTAAAGTTTACACGACTTCATAGTGCAAATAAATATTGTATAATTTGAAGCACAGCAAAATTTTATATGATAAATTCACTGCAATATGACTTGCACAGAGAGCTACCCTCCACATTCAAAATAAGTAATACTGAGTTATTTTCAGAAATAATGACACACTTATTATTTGATGCTCACTACAAAATGTTACAGAAATTCCAACCCCACATTATTTCTATCTTATTCATATTATGAGAAAAAATAATTTACTATACAGAGAAAATTTAATGCTAGAGTCAAAACAGTTAAGTGCTTTTTTAAATAAAGGTAATTTTTAGATTTCTTGTGACTGAGAAATAACTTTTTTTTTTTTAATTCTCTATTAACATTTATGTGTCTCCAGTTCATCTTTGCTTTTTGAACTTTCACATCTATTTCTCAACCATATTAATATTTTCTCAGCTTCTCAATGACGTCGTGAAAAGTTAGCACAAAAAATCATCACTGTTAAAAAAATAAGGTGCAGAATCAAATATGTTGCATTTATGTACAAATAACAGTTACTGAAAACATTCATGTTTCAAGTATTCCTTTTAAAGATTATCTCGATAAATATCTACTTCTAAAGAAAGCAGTTTCTAATAATAATTGTAATAAAGAAATATGCAGTTACTTTTATATAATTAAATAAAATTATACCTTTTAAAAGTAAACTGCTTGCATTGAAATGGCAAAAGTTAAACCGGAATACACCAGTTTAGAAATTATTTTAACTGAGACTTTCCTTTTTTAAAATAATTTTTAATGTACTTGCAAATACATACTTCTGTGTATACATATTTTATAGATTTTAATTAAAGAAATGCATGCAGTCTGATTGATATATTAAAGCATGAATTGAATTTACTCTTGAACCTAAAGAGAGGCAAAATACACAAAGCCAATTAACTCTAATAATAATTAAAGACGTTTTAGATAGAATATATACAATAAATTTCTGCAAAAGAATAGATATAAGACATATTATAATGAGGATAGGTTTATTATCATAACTGTTTGACCCTGTCTTTGAAAACATACAAAATTCTTTATTATTAACTTTCAGCAATAACTCAATCTACTCTAAAATAATGATCTCTTTATTCAATATGAACTATAAAGAATCACATTTAATTGCTTAAACGTTAAGTTTCTCAAAAAGAAATTTTGTTTAGTATTTCAAGTATCAAAATTAGGTTTTTAATTGTTAAGCCCAGCATATTCTTCCTAACCATTTTAAGTATTAAAATTAGTCCTGTTATTTTTTCCCAAAAAACTTCTTGTTTTCTTTTTAATCTCCATATTTGTTTAAGATTTATGGAAACAGAAAGAAAAAAAATTATGGAGATTAGAAAAGATAGTGACTGCTATTTATCAAAATAATTTAAATCCCACTATTCATCACATAAAAAAGCTGCAAAATTAAAACAATCAAAAATGGACTTTTAAAATAAATTTGGCTTTTAATAATAAAACAATTACATAATAATTTAATCTTTTTATCAAAATTTAAAATTAAATAAATTTTAAAGAAATTTAATAGGAGAAAGGAATCTACTAAACCAGTTTTTCAAGACATTTTTATGGAATGGAAAAAAATAATATTTCATATTTTGACGATAACTGAATTAGCTGCTTCCCTTTCCATACATTATTTGGCCAAAGAAGTACTTCCATATATTTACTCTATCAGGAATTAATGATGCCAGAAATAAGGGAAGCAACCTTTAGATTAATTTAAAATAAATCTGACAAATTTTCTGATAATGTAACTGCATTTTGTGTAATTTAAAAAAACTTTATACATGTTAATAATTAAAATGGTAGAAAAAATTTGTAAACTGTTGTTTTATTTACTATTCAAAATCTATCTTATCAATGAAAAAAGCAAAGCTTGTATGTGAAGGTGTTAGACTGTTCTAACATCCTGCAATATCTCCCTCTGCATTATATCTTTTACACATTACAAATACAAAGGGTATGAATTAACAGATTTCTCCTTCATCTAGGTGCGTAATTTTTATTAAGATTTTTCATGCTTCAGAAGTAATCACTTCCGAAATATCATATTTAAAATCAGATCGGTTAAATTTATAAAGTATTTTCACAACAAATATATATTTTTGCCTTTGCCCAATAAAAACTTTTATTAAGATACTATTAGTGCCTGAAATAATAGAACTGTATGAGATACATTCCGCAAGAGACGAAGAGGAAGAATGACTTTGCTTGTTTGCATTAGCTGTACATAAGTCACGTGATCTCTGGGGTCATCTGCATTGTTTGTTTATAAAAGGTATACATAAGTCACGTGAGGAATGAGGTCATCGAAATGTATCTCATTATGCTGCTTTAGATTCGAAAATAAAATTCAAATTTTGTCATGGCAACATAATTAATAAATTCTTAAAACTCGCTGAGAAATTACACTTAGGAAACTAAGCTATGAAAAGTAAAAATGAATAAATACTTTAAGCACATTATAGTTAAAAAAATATAAAAAAACACCCACTACAGAAAAAATTACATGCAATGTAAATGTTATAGATTAAAATAATTACTAAATACACAGTTAAAAAACTAAAAAAAAAAAAAAAAAAAAAGAAAAAAAGAAAAGAAGTGGGAGCAAATGTGTTTGTTTTCGAACCATTTTGGAAACACCAGGAAATCCATATTCAGTTTTTAATCAAGTTAGATTCAAAATATGAGAAAGGTATGTATGATGGAAAGAAGGATTTCAATTACCTGTAAGCATAATGCTCTACTGAAATGTCAAATGTATAGATATTATTTAACTTTGTAAATAAATTATCAATTGTTGTTCTAGTTTCTGTGATTTCATTATTTAGCATTTTAAAACTGGAAAACCAGCATTTTCATTATTGGCATTCTACATACACAAATTCTAAGACAGTATTTATATACAGATACAAATTATACTAATTTTGTGACAAACAAAAATTCGTTGCATTTTTTAGACTACAGGACATTCCTGTGAGATGTGTTTAAGGCGAAGTGCACATTCATAGCTGCCAACTTTGAAATATGAAAAACTGCGTGGTTTTCACATGAAAATCGAAACGCTGCGTAGCGACATCTCAAAAACAAAATTAAACTCAATAAAATTCACTCCATAATGCTCAATTCAGGTTATTAAACTACAGGGTGGTCATAAGAACCGTAATATCAACACTTAGCGGCCTATCCAGAGGTAGATCGTAGATCGTCTGTCTAAATAAAGTCTGGTTTTATTTGAGCCTCTATTTCTCCTCTACGGCAATCACAATTAGAAACGTAAAATCCGGACAGGACAGAAGAACAACGAAACTTGAGTATCTACAGCACAAAATCTGATAGAAACACATAACAGATAAGTAAAATTAAAAAAAAAGAAATGAAAATCTGAAAGCTTTCAGATTTTACATTACGTGTGTGCTTATGGCAAAGCCTCGAAAGCTATCTGCCTAAGGGAGGGATGCCTTCGTGGAGGACTTTCTAAGGAAAATGGCTCGTATATACGTAACACATGGGGAAAACCACAAAAAACACCCATGCAGCCAGCCCGTTTGCGGGATTCGAACCTCGGACTGAACTAACAGTGTTCAGCGGCTTTACCGCTCGGCCGCTGGTGGGCCGATTTTTTACATTAAAGGAACTTTTTTTAACATTTTGCGTGTTACCTTTATTTATTAAATATCATGTTCTTCGCACTTAAACCATAAAATTCAGTTCAATAGCAATATCGCAAAATAATTTTAAAAATGAGCATATCTTTAGAATTTCCGATACAAAGTCTTGCGGTCTGGGGGTTCAAGTGTTGTCATTTTTCGCTTTAAATCGTTGAATTTGTTAATGAAAAATTCGTTAAAGTTTTACGAAATATGAAATCGAAAATAAAACAAATTCCAAATTTCGGCTTCCAGATGCCCATATTCGCAGTAGGATTGCGTCATTCAAAATTCGATGGCTCTAGGTACCGTTGTTTTATCACAATGCAAGAAACATACATATATTTATGCAGATTCTTCATTATTTAATTTCTTTAAATATAACACACATCGACTATATTTGGTGGCAACAATTTGAAACGTGAAACAGCATTTTTAGTGAACCAATGCAAAATGCCAAAGCAAAATTAATAGTACTTCAGGGCAAACTGCCCCTTTGGACTAAAAAAATAATTACATTACCCCCAAAGGAACGTTTATTTTTAACGTTTTGTGTGTTACCTTTATTTATTAAATATCACGTTCTTCGCATTTAAACCATAAAATTCAATTCAACGCAATATCGCAAAATAATTTTAAAATGAGCATATCTTTAAAATTTCTCATAAACAGTCTCGCGCGCTGGAGATAATTTCTTTTTCATACAGTTTTACTATTGCTCGCTTTGAAATCGTTGAGTCTGTTAATAAAAAATTCGTTAGAAAAGTGTTACAAAATATGAAATCGCTCATAAAAAATTTCAAATTCCAAATTCGGGCTTCCAGATGGCCAGATTGGGGTCTAGACGTACTTTATTCAAAATTTGATGGCTCTAGGTACCGTTGTTTTATCACAATGCGAGATATGCATACATCGTGCAGATTCTTCATTATTTAATTTCTTTGAATATAACCCACGGCTCTATAATATTTGGTGGCGACAATCTGAAAAGTGAACCAATGCAAAATGCCAAAACAAAATTAATAGCTTTCTGGGCTAATGCGCTTTGGGCAAATAAAATAAATACAACTCTGAATAATTTTGAAGCTCACAAAGGGAGTGAACTTTATTCTTGAAGTCAGTAGAATTACGAAATCTCATAAAATAATATAAAAACACTGTAATCATGAATAGAAAAATAAAGTAAAATAAAATTGAAGATCAAGACATATACAAGTCTCAGATAATTTTTCACAGAGTTCGCTTGGCATCGCATTGGCAACCTAAGAACTACTTAGACTTAGACTCTATAATTGACCGAGCTATTGCGAAGAGCAATGTTGCCGGTTCCAAAATTAAAGCCCAAGGGCACTTGACATAAATAAATCCGGACGTGGAGAAAATCTCAGATGAGAAAACGGAGATAAGGGGAAGAAGAGAAGTACCAAAAGGAGCAAGACAATCCAATCGGACAAGTTCGCAAAAGGTGACGAGCGATCATAGCTTTCAAGGAGGACCCAAGACAATGGAATAAATGACAACAATACGAGAAGATACACTACAGCAATAGTTCCAATGACAAATTCAAAAATAATTAAACAACATCAATCAGTAGTGCTAAATACAACACAATACAAAACAACTATACAACACAATTTAAATACAATTATTCAACGAAGCAACAGAAGAACTTCAATCAAAATCAGATGCATTGGAAGTGTAAATAGCTAATAATTAATAATAATCTAAGTGAAAAAGTCGTCGTCTCCTCCCATGAAGGTGTGAGCTGCAAGTGGTCTGTCGCTTCTATCTTCGAAGAGAATTTCATAATTAAAAACTTGGGAGTAATTAACAAAGTCACATTGCACAGCTTTGTTGAAGAATTTTTCATTAGATCTTCTGATGTAATCTGGAATCGTCTCAAGTTTTAAGTCTCTGTGTAAAAGTTTATTGCGGATAAGATAGTGAGAATCAGTAATAATGCGCAGAAATTTGTTTTGCACTACTTGTAATTGATGCAGTTGAGTTTGAGTGACTGTGTTCCAAGCAGGAGCAGCATACCAAAGTATAGGTCGAATGCAAGTGGTATATATATGTTTTTTGGTACGCAAGCTAAGATTTGAATATTTTCCAATGACCGGGAGAAATCTGCATATTATGCCCATGGCTTTGCTCTTGACACTATTAATGTGGATTAGACCATGTTTGAGCCTTTGGTTCAAAATAATTTCCTAAGTATTTGGCCTTTGTGACCTGAGGAACAGCTTCCTGAAAAAGGTAGAGGTCTTTAAAAAGCAATGTTTTTCTTAGTTTTGCTAAGAATTAAAAGTTGTGACTTTGAGTTGTGACATTGAGTTTTACTCGCCAATTTGTGCACCAGTCTTCTACGGCATAGACGTAATTTTGCATTTTGTCTATTGCATGATTAGCTTGGATGGATTTAATTGCAATCGCCGTATCGTCGGCATAACATGCTAACAGAGAGTAATTGTCCAAACCAGGGTGAGGAAAATCTGATATGTAGAAAAGATATAGTACTGGACCGAGAATACTTCCTTGTGGGACGCTGGATCTTATAGGTCTTGAATTGGATTTTTCATTTCCTTGAGCGACGAAGAAAGTTGCAAAAAGGAGAAGATCAGAAGAATGAGCTCTCTAGGAAGTCCCAAGTTGATAAGCTTGAAGACGAGCCCCTCATGCCAGACGCGGTCAAAGGCTTTTGCCACGTCCAGCATAAGGAGCGCAACACTTTGCTTGTTATGGAATGCAGATCCCACAAATTCTACAATTCTTACTAGTTGTCGAGTAGTACTGAGGTTTTTTCTGAATCCGTACTGATCATTAGGTAGCAGCAGTGAAGAAAAGGTTCCAATCTAGTGAGAATAAGTCTTTCATAAATTTTACCAAGGCTGGATAACAAACTGATAGGACGATAGCCATCAGGCTTGGTCACATCTTTACCCGGTTTGGGAAGAAGAAAAATCTTGGCTTGCTTCCAAGGATCAGGGAAATAGTTGAGAGCAAGACAAGCGTTGAGAATACTAGCGAATTTACTGATAAGTTTTCTAGGTAAGTTACGAAGCATTTTATTTGTAATTTGATCACTTCCAGGAGTTTTTTTGATGTTGAGATATTTAATAATATTAGTAATTTCCATAGGAGAAGTAAGCCTTGGGATGTTATGAGCCGAAGAAGAATGAAGCCAGGAATACACATAGTTTTCGAGAACATCTTTAAAGGTCTGATTCATAGGCTCCATATTAGGAGTAAACTGCTTTTCCAGGTATTCAGCGAAAATATCGACTTTATCTTTAAGTGAGTAGGCAATTTTAGTATCCGTATGAATAGGTCTATTATTAATACTTCTTTTAAGATTTTGAAGATACTTCCACAGAGAACCATCATTAATATTAAGTTTAGATATAAAATCTTCTCTTGTTTCCTTTTTAAAATCAGTGATAAGTTTCTCGATTCTTCTATTAAAAATATTGATTCTCTTTTTTAAGGGCAGGGTCCCAGTTACGGTGCCAAAGTTTCAGCAATCGGTTTCTTTCTTTGATAATGTCTCTGATACTGCGAGGAAGTCGAATATTATTGTTAGTTAATTGAATGGTAACTGTAGCATCTCTGAAAGCTTTCAGTATACTGTCAGAGAAGATATGAATGGCAAGATCGATATCCTGTTTGGTAGAGAAGTGAAGTGAAAATAGGAGGATGTTTGATTAAGATATTGTGAAAAGTAATCCAGTCAGTATTATTTCTGGTAATAGGAGGGTCTTCTTTAGAAACACCAAGAGAAGCAATGACAGGTACATGATCAGATGTAAGTTCTGCCTTGACTTCCAAGGAAATAGGGATAGAAGTATTTGTAAGGATAATATCCAAGATGTCCGAGAGATTTGGAGAGGCAGGACGATAAGTGGCTTCAGAAGGTACATGTAATGCGACAGGATGATTGCAGATAAAATTATGCATAATACGTCCATTGGTGTTAGAACGACGACATCCCCATTCGAGGTGCTTAGCATTCATGTCTCCGGCAATAATAACTTGCTGATCTTCAGGAAGTAAGTTTTTTAACATATTTTCAGAAAGTCGGTTTCGTGGTGGATTATAAATAGCCGTAAAATGGATGGTACCAAATTGTGGGAGTATAACAGCAACAGTCACACTTTCGAA